GCCTTGTGCTGTGCCCGGCCAGGCCCCCCCACTGAGCCGCTCACACTCTGGTTTACTGTGTCTGGGGACAGTGTCTTGGGAGGCGGCTCAGGCTTGTGAACTGGCTTCTGCCTGGTGAACAGCTGGATCCCAGGCTGTGGCTCCACCCGGATCACTCACACGGATCCCTCACACAGTGAGGGACAGGAAAACAGGTTCAGTAAGGCCCAGGCGTAGCAGGTTGGGACGGAGGAGCTGGGCTGTTTCTGGAAGTGCTGTCGAGGAATGGCCGACCCAAGGGGGGGAAGGCCCCGAACCCAGGGCCTCAGAGTAGAGGAAGGGAAGGCTGTGGCACGACGTGCCGGGTGAAGACGAGACTCCGTTACTGATTTTTTCTTTCCTTTTTTTTCCTGTAGTGAGCATGGAACCCAGGGAGGCTGCACCACCAAGCTGCATCACCAGCCCTTTTTGATTTTTACCTAGAGACAGGGCCTCACCAAGTTGCTGAGGCTGGCCTCAAACTTTCGATCCTCCTGCCTCAGCCTCCCCAGTCACTGGGATCACAGGCGTGCTCCCCTGCACCTGGCCTGCGCCTATTTTTTCGAACAGGAGGACCCAGAGCAGGGCAGCATGGGCAGCTGGGACACCAAGAGGACTGAATCAGGCCCTTTTGTGTTCAGAGCCTGCAGTCTCCGGGCTGGGGATGTGGCTGAGTGACAGAGCACTTGGCTGGCATCCACAGGCCCTGGGTTCAAACCCCCATACGGCGGTGGCGGGGGGAGGGGGGGGATGCCAGTGGTCTCTGGTGTCGGTAGAAAATTTAATTTCTAGTTCCATTGACTTGTCTCGTCCCGTCTCGAGTCTGTTTTCCGCCTATGGCTTGTGTCGTGTGAGTCAAGTGTGGTCTGAACGCGCACACGCGCACTTGTGTGACCTGCACCGGTGCTTGTTGACAGCGGGGGGCCGAGGGTTGTCCTCTGGAATGTGATGCATGCTCAGAACAAGGGGGAGGGTCATCGGTGATACAGTTGTGCTCTGTGGTCCCTGAAAAAGAGGGACAGAAATGAGAGAGAGAGAGAGAGAGAGAGAGAGGCTCCCCAGGGACGGTGACCTTCAGCACAGGGGACCACACCTGCAGGAGAAGGACGGCCTGGGAGGCCAGCATGGGCGGCAGGCCTGGCCCCGGCATCCGAGTACAGAGACCCTTATACCAGAGATCTAAAGACTTATAGGTTTTAATCTGTAATCCAAATAAGCAAGAAATATCGAATAAAATGTGCTCCGTCGAGATGTCCCAGTGGCCATGTGCACCCCTCGCACCCAGATCCTGATTTCTAACTACCATTCTCCAATGGAAGGAATTGGGGGTCCTTGGAGAACTGGTTAATCCCAGGTACATTCTCTGTCTAGCGAGGGCCTAGCTTCGTGATTTCTAGATGGTCCCATGTTCACATGGTAGAACGCCCCATGAGCTCCCTCCAACTCCTGTTCCAAGTGCCCCGACAAAGCTCATTTTCTGTTGCTGTAACAGAATAACTTAGACCAGATGGTTTATAAAGAAAAAAAGGTCCATTTTAGCTCACAGTTCTGGAGTCGGGAAATCTGAGACTGCACAGCTTCATCGCGGCTCAGGCTCTGGTGAGGGTCACACGTGAAACCAATCGACGGCTGAAGGCAGAAGGATAGGACCGTGAGAGTAGAAGAGGGAACAAGGGGACCAGACTCCTGCCACCTCTAATCCTCTTGGAGGCCCGTGGCCTGTCGCTGCCCCTCCGGCGTACCCTCACCTTGGGGTCTTGGCTGGAGATGGAGCCCAAGGCCTCACACGTGCTCCACCCCAGGCTGCGCCCGACCCCAGGGGTTGGGGCTTCATCAGGTGAAGCTTTGGATGGAGTGATCACATTTTTATCCCACAGGAGGAGCTGTTCGGGTTTCTTTTTGTTTTTTGTACTGCCTGTTGAGCCCAGAGATGGTCTACCACTGAGCTAAATCCCATTTATTCACTTATTTCTTTGTTGCTGAGGGTCTTGCTAGGTTGCCAGGCTGGCCTCGAACCTGTGGTCCTCCTGGCTCAGCCTCCCCGGGCGCTGGGAGTACAGGCGTGAGCCACCGGGCCCAGTTCAGAGCCAGGCTCTTGCTCTCTCCCAGGTGTGACCGTCCCACAGGATGGAGCCTCCACAGGATCGGGGGCTGGAGCTCGGACACTAGTCCAGGGTGTGCAGAGAAGCATGCCCGGTCCCCTGGGTCCCTCACACCGGATGGCGGACCAGGAGGGGCAAGAGGAGAGAGGAGGACCGTGGGGCGGAGCCTCCACCCTGACGGGGAGCTCAGCTGCCTTCTAAATTAGAACGTGTTCGGGGACCTAATGACGGTGTGTGGAGGAAGGAAAGAGGCAACGTGTATTTTTTTTGAACTTTTAATTTTGAGATAATTTTAGACTTACAGAAACTTGCAAAAATAATACAGAGGCTTCGTGGGTACTCTGCATCCAGCATAAACACGGGGTGTCCGGTTATTAAGACCAGGGAGTAAATGCCACATAAACAATTAACTGCTGTGCGTGTTTTGATTTTTCCGGGCTGGGGCTGGGGCTCGGGGGCAGAGCGCTCGTCCAGCACGTGTGAGGCCCTGGGGCGATCCTCAGCACCACATAAAAATAAGTACGTAAAGGCTGTGCTCTGTGTGTGTCATGTGAATCATAAGGCATTCCTCTGTCATATTTGACAAATCAGAATAAATAAATAAATAAAGGCACTGTGTACACCTTTAAAAATTTTTTTAAAAAAATGTCTCTGTGTTTGCCGCTGGGGTTCCTTTTTCTGGTTGAGGATCTCATTGAGAACATCACATTCCCTCCATCCTGGTCTCCTCCAGTTTACGACACTTTCTCAGAGTTTGCTTGACTTCCACGACAGTGACTCTTTAGACAGTCATTGTGTTCGTTTCCCATGGCTGCCACAGCAATCACCACAGACTGCCTGGCTTGCAATCATAGAAATTTATTCTCTCTTGGTTCTGGAGTCCAAAAAATCTGAAATCAGGGTATTTGGTTCTGTCCTTGCAGAGACTCTAGGGAAGAATCCTTTCCATGCGTTTTCCCCAGATTCTGGCATGTTAGTCAGCTTTCTGTGAGTATGACAAAACACCTGAAATAATCAACTTATAAAGAGAAAAGGTCTGTCTTGGCTCACCATTTAGGAGCTTCCAGTCCATAATTAATTAATGAACTAACTGGCCTCACTGTTGGGGGCCGTGGCAGCCAGTGCGTCAAGGTGGGAAACATAACTGATCCTCTCATCCAGGAAGCAAAAGGCAGAGAGGGGCTGGGGTCCCCGTCTGCCCTTTGAGGGCTCAACCCCAAGGACCTAAGGGCCTCCCTGCAGGTCCCACCTCTCTTCTCCTTTTTCCCTTGATGCATTTTGATGACACAGGACAGAGTCGCTGTCACGTAGTCTTACATTCCCCACCACTTACAGCTTCCGCCACCTCCCTGTAGTGCCACCCCGGGGACCACCCCTGGTGCCTGAGCTCCGAGATCCCGCATCCATCTGCGCCTTCCTCCTCCGCGGCCATCCCCCTGTGTTCGTGTGCTGTCTCTGACGGTGTGTCTCTGAGGAGAAGCTCCTGGTGGCCAGCGGAACCCACAGTGTCAGACATGGACACAGGCGTGACCACTCCGGCACCTACCAGTCCTTCCATTTCGTGAACGTGCCCGGGACAAACATGCTCGGATGCCCTGGGAGATAGGAGGTGGAATATTCTAGAAGCATTCATCATGAGAACCTCCAGCCTCTCCTTCTTACTCTTTTCTCCCCGCTCACCCTCTCTTCCTTCTGCAGAGCTTTACCACTGATCTTTGTCCCCGCCCCTGTGACAGTCTTCAAGCATGGGGTCTCCACCTGTCCTTCCACGGGACAGCAGGTAAGCACCGCACTGCACGTTTCCTGTGTGGTCGTGAAGGGGGGTGAACTGTGGCTCTGTGCGGGGTGGACGGACCACAGCCGAGTACCGACCGTTCAGTGGGGACAGGAGGTCCCAGGAGGGTGGCTGTCCAGAAGCCCTTAATGCAAAAACACAGAACAGGCAGGTAAATGATAGATTGTAGGAGATGGGAACGTAGGGAAACGACAGAACGGAATTCAGGAACGTGAGCACTTTCCGGGGCTTTGGAGAAAATCATGTCTTCAAAGATACCGGAAACGTTTTTTTTTTTTGTTTGTTTGTTTTAGACGGGTTTTTCATGGTTTGTGTAAAGCCTGGGACAGACTGTGATATCCAATATATTATAACAATATCTAACAATATCCCGCATCCTATGTTCTTTTACGTTGTGCCTTGCCATTTCCGCATCAAGAAGTGGACTATGGCCGGGCGCGGTGGCACACACCTGGGATCCCTGTGCCTTGGGAGGCTGAGGCAGGAGGATCTCAGGTTCAAAGCCAGCCTCCGTGAGACCCTGTCTCTAAATAAAATACAAAATAGGGCTGGGGATGTGGCTCGGTGGATGAGTGCCCCTGAGTTGAATCCCAGGTGAGAGAGAGAGAGAGAGAGAGAGAGCAGATTCTGTGGGCTGGGTACAGCTCAGCAGTGGAGTATCCCTCTGGCCTGTGCAAGTCCCCAGGTTCCATTCCACCTGGATCTTTGGGATCAATTCACTCAATAGAGTTTGTTGGACATAAAATGTGATTTCTTTCTTCCTCCCTCCCCTCCCCTACTCCCCTTCCTTTCCTCCCTCCCTCCCTCCCTCCCTCCTTCCTTCCTTTCCTCTTCTTTTTCCTTTTTGCAACACTGGAAGGAGCAGGATTTACTAAACCATGAGAGACAGGAACAGAGCTGTCACAGGGGTGAGAGGGAGCCGCAGGGGATTGCCTGTAAGGCGCATGTCTGAGCCACGGTCCTGCGAGGTGACATGGATTCCTTCTTGTTCTCACTCGGGGACCGAGTCGCCATGCTGTCAGGAAGCCCAAGAGAGCTGGAGAGGCCACTCAGCCCCAGCTGAAGTCCCTGCCAAAAGCCGGCAGGTGAGTGACTCCGGCCACTGCAAGTGTCTGGCTGTAACTGTGCGACAAATGCAGAGTGAGAGCCACCAACAGAGCCCTCAGCACCTGGTCAGCCTTGGGAGCACGAGGGGTGATTGGGATACGCGATTCCATGAGGTCCTCGACGCTCGCCCGCATCCTGCCCGGGGGGTGGAAGTGGGGTCCGGCTTTATTTATACTGGGAAACATCAAGGACCTTCCATAGGACGTTCTTCACCAAAAAAGGTTAAACTGGGTCCTCCGTCCGACAGGTCACGCCCATCTCCAGAGCCACCGAGAGGGATCTTCCTGGCAGAGTGGAGATAAAGGTCACGTATATCGGGAATCTCTTGCCGTGGGAGAGCCACGGATAGTCCCCAAGGCCCACCTAGAGCTCCGTGGCTTCCTGCGAGAGGAGACCCCCAGGTAACTCAACCTGCCACGGTGTGAAGCACGGTTCTTCTACTTCGTGCCGGTGTGAAAGTGAGGGGCATTCAGTAGGAAGATCTACTTTAGCTCTGAATCCTGAGCTCTTCCTAGGCCAGCAATGTGCGATTTAATCCAGTCTGGTAGCACTGGGCGGTGGCAGTGACCACAGCTCCCCGTCAGCCCACTCTACAGGGTACTGACTGCTAACCCGGGATGGGCCATTGGTCAGCCGAATTAAATGTGCTATGGTGTGGGCCTCAGTGTCCTTCAGAGGCCCACGTGTTGACCTTGGCTGCCAACCTGTGGTGCTACTGTGAGGTGGTGGCTTGATGGGAGGAAGTTAGGTCATCAGGTTCACACCCTTGAAGGACATATGGGGACCCCGACCCCTTCCTTTATTTTTGCTTTCCATTGACCATAAAATGAGCAGCTTCCTTGGACACGTGTTTCCCCCCCATGACATACTGGGTTGCCACAGGCCCCAAGATACAGGGCCAAGTGACCATGGACCGAAACATCTGAAGCTATGACCCAACATAAACCTTTTTTCCTTCTAAGCTATTTATCTCATGTATTTTGTCACAGCAACAGA